ACACACACACACACACACACACACACACACACACACACACACACACACACTGGACTAATCAGCCTTAGAAAAAGGAAAGTAGTTCACAGCATCCTCCAAGTCTAGCCATCATGCCTAAGAGGGAAATAAAAATGGAAAATTCCCAGTAAAGCTCCAAGCTTAGAGTTATACAGTCAAAAACATATAAATTAAAAGGTCAACCCAGCATTTGTCATAGGACTGCAGACCAATCCTTTTCACTGCACACATCGAAGAACTGACGGTGGGCAATAAATGGAATTGACAGACACAATAAATCCAGAGGAAGTTAGTCTCTATAAAAATAAACTAATAACATATTATTTGACTTTCTCTCATATATTTGATGGTGATGGAAGAAAATGATCAGGGTAAACAAACATTTATGAATTTTTCCTTGTAGGAACTGATCTTTCTGGTCGGTGTTTGGCAGTTCAGTTCAGTTCTGATGTCCAGAATCATAAATCAACTGCCTGCTTTGCCATAGAGCAGGGTCCAGAGCCATGTGAACGGGAACTTATTACATACTATACTAGTGAGAAACTAGAAACACACTGCCCAGCAGCAGCAGGATCACCTTTCCATACGTCAGCAGCCTACACAGCAGTCTGGGCCTGTTTCTGTTGTTGTTGTTTGTTTGTTTTTTAGTTAACCAAGCACCTGCATGAAAAGGTGTGGGTGGATAGAACAGATTCAAGGCAAATAGATTTTCGTGCTCATGGAGGTAATCCCCACCTGTCAGAATCTGGTTATTTCTTTTGTGCTCTTCTGTGCTATAAAACTAGAAAACAACATTACACTGCATTGTTCGTATTTTACTACTTTTTTTTTAATCACTGTGTCCGAGTGACTGGCAGAAGCAACGAGAGGAAGAAAAGTTTTATTTTGTCTCACAGTTTAAGGGACACAGTCTGTTACTACAGGGAATGCATTGTGTCAGCTACTTCCATGGCCATGGGGATATGGCTGGGACTCCCCACACACACATCTTGACAGAACATACTGGAAGGCCATAAATCTCAAGTCTTGCCTCTTGGTAACCCTCTCAGTTAGGCCCCATGTCCTAAAGGTTCTGTACAATCTCCCAAAACAGTGCCTTTAGGCGGGGATCACACATTGAAACACACGAGTCATTGAGGGCATTTCATATTCAAAGCAGAACATTCTCCCCTGGCCCCCTGGCTCATGCTCATCTCATAATGCAAAACACATTCAGTCCAACTTCAAAAGCCCTCATTGACTTAGAGCTCCAACACCCCTCAAAAGCACAGTCTCCTGAGGTTCAGGGTAGCTGCTTAAGGGTGAACACCTGAAAGTCAAAGGACAAGTTTGCCTACCTCCAGTCTGCAGTGGCACAGGGCAGACATTCCCATTACAAAAGGGAGGGATGAGGGCATAACAGCAGATCTAACCAAACCAGGACAAAACCCAGCAGGTGTGTGCCATAGTCTCCACAGTCATGTCTGGCACCAGGGACTTATGGTGGCATTGTTTGAGCTCCAACCAGCTTATAATGCTTCATTCCTCCTGCTCTGTTCCCTGCGGCACATAAGACTCCTGTCTTTGGACAACTGAATTCAGTGTCTGTAGCAAATATCCTACAGTTCTGGCATCTTTGATATCCTGGAGTCTGTGAGGAAACTAAGAGTTCATCATTACAGTGTCATCATGTACAGCCCCTTCTGGAGTTCTAAGATGGGAATCTGACCCTGGTGCATACCACATGAGCTCTGTGCCTTTCTGCACACACTCACTGTGATGTCCTGCGGGCACACAAAGCCAGCTCCACATGAGTGACACCACATTTGGCAGCCAGCTCAGTGCAGGAAGCTGGGTGCCTTGGCAGTCCCCTTCTAGCACTGAAAGCCTAGACCATTCCTGAAGAGTCACTGGTGTTGAGAAACACCGTAGAAGCTAGGGTATGATGGCAGCAGAGAGAGAATGCAGCAGGAGTGGACATACTCGAACGGGGGGGGAAGCAAAGGCAGCCTCACACAGTGCTTTTCCTTAGACTTTTTTTATCTGGGCCATGCCCTCATTGGCAGGCACTGCTCACTTTGAGGACGTCTTCCTCAGTCACTGTCCTACGAGTCTGTCCTCCATGGAAACACCCCTCACAGACACACAGGTGTCATTCAGTACTCTTAGGCATCACTGATAATAGTTAAGTTGACAACCAACACCAATAGCTATATTGATGGGTGAGGATAGGCTTTTTTCCCCTCTTTATAGATGGTTTATGTAAGTACAAAGTTGGTTTACAGTTTTCACCTTTCTTATTTACAATTTGGCATATTCAGAAACTGTGTTGTTAGATTTAATTGCACAGGTATCTAACTGTACATGTTAAAAAAAATCCTTTCATCTTCTTGGGAGAACATCCTGGTTTTTGTGACTGGTTGTCCAAGGAGCTGAGACGTTGAATGTGCAGGTGTATGAGACATAGCAATCTGTCCTTCAGGCTGGCTTCCTCTCCACTGTCAACCAGGTCATGGATTGCTTCCCTCTGGCCTTTGTGGAAGCTGTCTCACACTTGTGGTAGATGTCTCCTGCCCCCAGCTGCTTCAGGGATGGCATTTGTGGTGGGCTCCAGACGAGGCCTCCTCTTAAACATTTGGCACTAGGCAGCCTGGAAGGGGGATGCCCTGGGGAAAGGGCTGAAGAGGTCTTGAGCCTGTTTTATTCTTTGTCAAATTTACCTGCTCTGGGACTTCATGTTGCTGATTGTTCATTCAGCTAATAACAGTCAAGCCTTCACCAAGCTGAGCATTTTGAGATACTCATCAACAGGTAGGAAAGGTCCTTGGACTCTGTAACACGCTGACCCCAAAGGACAAACTTGGCTATTCTCTAAGGGATTGGGACTGTAGCTCCGAGGTGAAGTGTTTCTCGACCACGTGTAAGACCCTGAGTTCAATCCTCAGCATCTCCAAAAAGCAAGTAAATAAAGCTATGGCTTGACTTATATCCATTTGCCCTAATGCAGGTGATAGAAGATTTGAGGGCAGTTTTCCAGGGGGTGAGGAACTGACCTAAAAGAATTGGTTGAGAATTTTATGAGGCATTAAGCTTCACACTTAGGCATTTCTGAATGAACGTTCACTCATTTCTCCCTTTCTTCCTTCAATTGCTTATGAACCAAGCCCAGGCTGGTCTACTCCACTTAAACCTAGGTGAGAGGTCCTAGTGAGGTCCCCAAAGGTCAGGTTTCCCCCTCTACCTACGTGACTTGGTTCTGTTGCCTTATGCACAAGAACTCTGTAAGGATCCTGGAAAGGGCGTTCCCCCTGCCTCCCCTCCCTGTGTTCTCAAGGAGAGCCAGCTTAGTGGGACGCTGGAGAGGCCAAGGGCACTGCCCACTGCTTAAGGTCTCACAAGGCCAGCTTGTCCTGAAGCATAGGACTGCCTGCTTCTGTTTGCCCAGAATCTGTGATGGCTTTGTGTGCTACCGCTCTGCCTGTTTCACTCCAATGTCCAGGCTCTTCTCAGTGAGTGCGTCTTCTAGAGGTTATGGCCTCTGGATGCCACATGGTTTCCACACACAAGGGCAGAGGAATGACATCCTCAAGAACCAGTGTAGGCTGCTCAGAGAACACTTACTGTGCATACTGTGGCTATCCCTCTGGAACTGAAACCCATTCTCCTCATAATAAAATGTTCCAGATTCTAGGGCAGCATTAGGCCATTGCCATCCAAGCCCTAATATCGAAGAACTTTTAACTCTATAAATGTGTGTACAAGAATGGAGGAGGTCAGAATTTTAAATCAGCAATCCTTTCGACTGTGCACCCTATCTATCTGGGATTTCTGCAAGTTGCTGCATTTCTGTGGCTTTCCCACGTGCTCATGGTCATCCAGTCAGTGTGAGGTGAAGGTGAGCAGGAAGGTGAGCTACTGTGTGTGCTTGGAGTTGCTGCAGGTGGCAGGGCTAGCTGCAGAGATGCCTAGAGCTCATTTGCATTTCACCGCCCCACACCAGCCTGGATTTACTAGCCCTTAAGTTCAGCTCTGGGTGAACGTCTAGCATGGTAGACTTTCATAGCCACTCATTTCTAGAACCATGGCTGGGATGGCTGGAAGCCCTCACGGGAGAGTATGTGATATGTCACAGACTATTGAAAATCAGGTGCAGCAGAGTTCAAGCCCATTCCTCCCATGCTGTCTGGCACAGGTGATAGGCACCCTCCCCCAATATTTTTTTCTAACCTTACTCATATCTTTTACCTTGCACAGGACCAGCTCTCCGCCGACATGTACAGTTTTGTGGCCAAAGAAATTGACTATGCAAACTACTTTCAGACGGTAAGGGTCCACCAAGGCAAGACTGCAAAAAGTCTGCGAGTGTCATGGTGTGGGCAGCAAGGGAAGGTGGGCGTAAAAACTAGAGCCTCCTGATTGCATGAAAACATTGCTGCGGGAGTGGGGGGATGAGTTGCTGGTTCCGTCTCTAGGTGAACTCTGCCCTCCTTGTGTGGATTTGTTCCAAAACCATAAAACAGAACCTCATTCCCGAGGATTCCCATAGCAGGGATTCTCAACCAAGAGTGATGTTTTCTCCTTCCCAGAGGACTTTGGATGTCCGCAGATTCCCCTGGTTGTGCCAGCTTAGGAAGGCTGTGGCACTGTGACAATGGTAGAGACAAAGGAGAATGATGTTACAGGCAGCTCCCTATGTCAGAGATGCCCAACCCAGAAAGTCGGGAGGACCCATGCTGAGAAGCCTAGATTTGTGACAGCAAAGGATTTGAGAAGATTAGGAAAATATTCAACTACCCACAAAGGCATATTGTTTCCAGTGAAGATTTTTTTTTTTTTTGCCAAGTTCAAAGCAAGAAGATAAGCAATGATTGATTTGGCCTGGTGATTGCCTCTTAGAGTCCAGAGACAGGATCTGAGTCACCTGTGCTTCAGTCATACAGCCCCGATAATTTGGACCCTGACTCCCTGCCATAGTGAATAAAAGGCTAAATAAATAACAGGAAAGCATTGACAGAAATCATACGACATGGAAAACAGTTGAGTGGGCCTATTCCAAACATTGAAAATAAAGTTAAAACCCACCAGCTTTCATTTTATGACCAAAGAAATGATGGGATAGGAAAAGTGAGCCAGAGAGAGTAGCAGGTGGGCAGACAGGCCTGAGAAGTGTGAAGTGCCCTGCAGTGCACACTGAGTGAGCTGCGGAGCTTCCCTGGCATTATGAAGAGTGCAGACTTTTGCAGTTCCCCTTCTCTCTCTCTCTCTCTCTCTCTCTCTCTCTCTCTCTCTCTCACATACACACACACACACACACAAAAGAGCTGGTAAGTATCACTTTCAGTGTGGAACACCTGCTTCAAAGTAGTTGTATTGATTGATTTTTCTGTTGCTGTTGTCAAATACCACACCCCAAAACAGCTCCAGGAAGGAAGGTTTTATTTGGGACTTATGATACCAGATGTGTATATGGGTTCATCATGGAAGGAAAGCATGGCAGCAGCCACCCATGGAGATCAAGAAAGAAACTGAAAGCTCACATCCTCAAACACAGGCAGGAAGCAGAGACAGCAAACTGGAAGCAGGCAAGGCTTTTTCCTCCCCGAGCCTGTCCCTAGTGACATATTTCCTCCAGCAAGCCCACCACCCGAACCCCAGTCCCAAACAGCACCACGTGGGGACCAAGTGCTCAAATGCCAGAGTGCATGGGTGTCATTTCTCATTCAAGCCACTACACTAGTGTATTTTCAAAGGCATTCCATTGGCTTGACTTTGAAAGTCTAGAGTCACTGAAGCCAATGAATCACCGGCGCCCAGGCTTTGTCAGGCTGCTTCCCCGGCTTTCACGTGCTGTTTTCTCAGCCTTCAGGTTCCTTTTGTTCCATACTAATGCTGTCATTGTTTTTGCTCCATGCCAGACTTTTATTTACTTTTGGGGAGATAGACAGCAAGGAAATACGTGAAGTCACTCTTGCTCATGAGTTTTCCTTGGCCCTAAGCAGCATCGCAGTTGTTTCTTTAAAAGATAGGATGGCGAGCAGAACACCTTGAAGGAGTGTGTTCCCAGGACCACGTGACTTTAGTCAAAGCCATTGTGCTTTCCAGTCTATCTGAAGGAGTAGAACCACTTGCTGTGTGACCAGTTACACGTTCAACTGACTCACAGAAATCAGTGGGCACTTGGGCCACTCTGCTGTGGGTATATCTTACAGGCAGATGGTCCTCCACATGTGTTTTCTGTTTACATTCACCAGTTACTGCACCTTTCTTTGCTACCTTTAGCTCTGAGGCTGGGGGAACCAGGTGAGGTTAGGTGACCCAAAGCAAGTTCTTTAAGCCAGGCTCCAGCTTAGGCAGATTCCTCTATACCTTCCCGATTCTTCTACCTGCCACATTTCCACTTAGAGTGATCCCTTTTTCCATCATGGCTGAAGCACATTGTCACTGGAGGAGGGTGAGGGCAATCCTGCCTGCTTCCTCCATGAGCGAGCGCCTTCGTGAAGAATGGAGAATGGCAGCGTAGAAGCCTGCTTCCCTTTGGCAAAAGGCAATGTTTGTTCTTGTGTTTTCTCAGCTAATAGAAGTGCAAGCTGAGTACCACAGGAAGTCGCTGACACTGCTGCAGGCTGTGTTGCCCCAAATCAAAGCACAGCAGGGTAAGTGCAAGCCTCCCTCAGAGCTGGGAGAGGACAGCTCCCCACCTGCGCTCTGCCGAGAATGCTAGTGTTCAGAAGAGCTGGTAGACCTCCCTGAGCTGGTTGTTCGCCAGTGACCCACAGCTGGGCTCGAAGGGGCTGAGTTAGGTATGTGCAGCGTGGTGGTCACATTAACCCCAGTGGGGCCAGGTTCAGTTCTCTCCATGCCTTTCCATTTTCCACTAAGCTACAGAATAGTCATCCATCTGCACCCTCTGTTTCTTTGGTACTTTGTGCAGAATCTGGACAAGGGGAGAAAGATTGTGGCATGAGTATCCTTGGGGAGCTACTAACTAACTCCTTTCTTGCTTACCCCTCCCCAGAGGCCTGGGTGGAGAAGCCTTCCTTTGGGAAGCCCCTGGAGGAGCACCTCATGATCAGTGGCCGAGAGATCGCCTTCCCTATAGAGGCATGTGTAACGATGCTCCTGGAGTGTGGAATGCAGGAAGAGGTATGTAGAAGGAATATCTTGTGTCTGTATGGAAGCATTATCTGACAATAAAAACAACAACAACAAAAACCCCTATGGCCTATAGCCATAGGTACAGGAGATTCAGCTAGTCTTTTGCTGAGAAAGATGGATGCCTGGTGCCTAAGCACAGGTAACCAGCCACAGAGCAGAATGTAAATTAGTATAATGGGTTATTTTAAGTTATGAGCTAGTTAGAAAAGAGCCTAGCTATATGGCATAGGTATTTGTATAATATTTAGTTAGCCTCATGAGTTGATATTCTGGGAGCTTGGGGTAGGGAGGAGAAACCACTTACGGCAGAGATAGGCACAAAGCATCCATGCCCATTCCCTGAGCTGGTCTATTTTTTCAAGAGGTGGGGTCTGTAAGAGTTTCTTCCCTGTAGCATCCCCACCCTGCGTCCCTAAATTAAGGTATGTGGTGATACAGGCAATATTGTCTCTTCTGCAGGTACTAACAGGCACTGCATTCTCTTGAGTGCCTTCACTTTCACAGAGAGAACAAAAGACTATGGGAGGTTGGCTGTTGCCTACAAGGGCTGTGTGACCAAATTCTAGACATTGCTTCTTCATATTTAATGTGATTTGGTGATTTGAACAATCTGCTGCTGCTTTTACCAGTATTAATCTTACTTTCTCCTTCTCCTTATCCTCCTTCTTTTCCCCTTTTTCTTTCACTCTTTTCTTCTCCTCCCTCTTCTTCCTTCTCTTCCTTCTAATATCTTCTTCCTCTGCTTTTTTTCTTCTCTCCTCTCCTTCATTTTCCTCTCCCTTTTTCTGCTCTGTTTGCTTCCTCTAGGTTCTCCTTTTCTTCCTCCCCCTCCTTGTTTGGCTTACTAAGTTTCTGATTTTGTGAGTAGAGCTCTTACACATTTGCATCTCTTCCTTTTTTGTACAGATCTTCTTTGTCACAATCAGGTGTGACTGATGGTGACATTAGAGTGTTCTTTTAGGAGCCTCCTGTAAGGAAGGACTATTATTTGTCTTGCCTAGTCAGTCATTTATCTGGTTTCATCTGCAGGCTATTTTAACATCTTTACTCCATCTTCCTGTAGCCTGACCAGCCAGTCTGTATTCTTGTAGGGCATGCTATGGGCTTGGTATTTGTTACTAAACAAAATGTAAACTTAGATTGAGGAAGTTATAAATTTATTGGAAGAGATGAGTCCTTTGATGCCCAGCAAAATGTAAACATGGGATGAGGGTTATAAACTGACTGGGAGAGATGAGCCTAGCTTCTCTCCAGTAAGCTAATTAGTCCAAGACAGGCTGTTTTCTCTAAGTGAGTGCCGAGGCCAGGTAGGACAAACCTAAGGGTTGAGGAAGAGAGCAATAGTAGCATTATGCACATCTACATTGGCTATTCTTTGTGTGCCAGGCCTATTCTGCATAGTAGATATTTAAAAATAAAATGTAAGTGGCACATGAGGTGAGGAGCTGGCTGCTTGTGAAGGAGGACTTCTGAACATCAGGATCACCAGAATACCAAGCTGGAAAACCATACTAGGCAAAGAGCTTGCATCAAGATCAGGACTGAAATACAAAAATATGGGTGATATAGCT